TTATATATATATATATATATATATATATATATATATATATATATGTATGTAAGAAATTTGGACAATGTATGAAAAAAAGGAAACGAAGTATTTCTGAAATTATATATATGAAAGTATATATTGAAAAGTGAATTAAATATTTGTTTTTGTGACATGTTACAACTGTATCTGGTAAAAGTTTCATGTTATTTCCCACGGTATCTCTCTGAATAGTGGGGCAAAAGATTGCCAGGGGCGGATAGTTCGCGGAGAGAGGGGTAGAAGGAGAAATAGTTTCCCGACTTTGTGTGTATTCGTTTAGAAAAGAAGGGGAAAGAGGACAGCTCGATGATCGATCCGAAGTTTTTCACGATCTGGTACGAATATCGTTCAAATAAATTTCCCGTCCGCATCTCTTGGTATTTAATGAAACATTAAATGTATTAGCATACATTTTGTAAGTGGGACTGTATATTTCATTTTCTAATTTATTTTTCCAATATTTTTGCAATTATATCGAGAGAATAGATTATTTCGAAGAATTAGAAACATGCTGCAAATTGATCAGTTATCGCGAAAGAAAACTAAATGTATTAATTGAACGTAGAAGCATTGAACGCAAAGTAAGAAGAAATAGAACTTGATCGAAACAATACGTAATAGAATGCCGTGAATGGCCAAGTTAATAATAATTAACCTTTCTCGTTATGTTGATTCCCGAACGCTGACCGTATCGTAACTGTATACTTTTTGTCATTGCAACGTTGTCAGTTAAAATAATCGTTTATCTTGCTCTTTTCGTATTTATTCATCTTTTCCTGTAAGTGATATTCAGAAAACAATTTCTAGATATCGACCTATCGAAATGAAAGCACGACGTTATATTCGTATGATGCAACATAAGGAAGACGACACGGCGAAAGAGAACAAAAGAAAAGGAGAAAGTTCCCTGAATTTGCCAAATGAGTGAAGGTCTAGTGCACAGGAGATCAAGTTGTGACTAGATCCACACTCATTAAGCACGTTCAGGTTCAAACATCATAGTGTTTCATTGGTGGTTGGTTATAAAATAAGTTTTCTCGTATTAGTGTGCAATCGTTTCGAAAACTTTGTTTATGAAGACGAGTATAATGTAAAACAGATAATTCCATAGACGAGTATGAATGTGGTGCGCGTTACGGTTTTTACTTCGTGACTAGATACATACTCGTCTACGGTGATCTGTTCTACTCTTAAAATATTGTACATATGAAATATATATAAATGTATTTTTAATTTTCACTAAACATTGTTTTATATTATTGTACAGAATATCGTTTTATTCTTTTTTAAGCAAACTAAAAGAGCGAGGAGTCCAACTACAGAGACAGAAAGTAACAGTAAATTACGAGCAGTAGATCATACGTTTACACCGTCAACTTATACACCGAAATCGTAAGCACGCTATCTAATCATGTATACTTATACGTTTTTATAATTCGATATTAAATAAACTTTCATAATTGTTATAGAGATGCTCCAATACGTGCACCCAGTACAGCCGTTAGGGGTAAAGTTCTTTTGCTTTTCGGCCCTGCTATTCACAATTGGAAAAAAGAAAACGAGTTTGATATATCGATCGCTAAGGCGGAGAATCCTCATGTACCGAAGGATGCAGTATATATGTATGAAATGCTCTCCAATCAAGGGGCCATTCTTACCAAGCATTGTCAATGCTTTGGTGAGCGACTGTGCTATATTTGGAACACTGTGGAACCTCCTAATTTCAATATGCATTACGTGAGAAACATAGCGCCTACAAAACCAGTTGCATTTAGAACATGGGGCAGAATACTTGTAACAGTTGAAAAATCTACTGGCAGGAAAATTGTTATGCTGGAGGGCACTAAAAGACTTAAAGCTAAAAAAAATGCTCCCATTTTATATTTGGATCTTAAAGGAATTAAACATTATTCGGTATTTTCTGGTCAAATAGTTGCTGTCGAGGGTATTATCGCAACTGAGGATACTTTAATAGCAAAAAAGTTGTTCGTTAAGGGGTATGCACCAATATTCGATATACCAAAATTATCGAAAGATATTAAAATTTACGTTGCGGTTGGTCCGTTTACAACTTCTGATAATTTGAGTTATCAACCGTTATGGGATCTTATGGAACATGTTGCAGAAAACGAACCTGACGTATTAATATTAGTTGGACCTTTTGTAGAGTACACACATTCAGAAATTAAAAAATGTACTTTAAAGGAGACTTTTCAAGATTTTTTTGATATCCTTTTGTCGAAGATTTTAAAATATTTGCAAGGGTATATTATCAATTAATAAGATCACGTTAATGTTCCATAAATTGTTTATTAACATCATTATTCTTCATAATTTAGGAAATCTACACGCATTGTATTAGTATCTTCTAATCGTGATGTACATCATCATCCGGTTTTCCCAACACCAGAATTTATTCTAAATACAAATAAACTTGGATCAAATGCGGCGAATATTTACACCATGCCAGATCCATGCACAATAAACTTAAATGGTTTACACATAGGAGTAACATCGGTCGATGTATTTAGACATCTTGTACAGCAAGAAATATCGTAAGTGCTTCAATATATAGGTAATGAAATACATATTTTATTGTAATACGAAATTTTTTAGGAATGCACCTGGAACGGATAGGCTCGGTCGTTTAGCCGACCACTTATTATCTCAATCCACATTCTATCCTGTATATCCTCCTTTTCTCGGTTTGAATCTTGATATTAGACTTTGGAAACAATACGCGTGTTTTGAAAAGCAACCACATATATTGATTTTACCTTCCGACGTCAAGCATTATTGCAAAGTGTTAAACGAATGTCTCATTTTAAATCCAGAACGATTACACAAATATATCTATGCTAAGTTATGTGTACGACCAATGAATAACGGGAAATGGGATCCAAACCAAGTATCTTGTGAAATTGCAAAAATCTGATTGTTCGTATTTCTATTTTCTTATATTTTCTCAGATTTATTTGTTATTGCGATGTAAGATCCAATAATTAAAATTTATTGTTTATTATCTGAGATATGTTAATAAAAAGAACTTGTGTGTTTTTAGTTTCATGCTTTTATTTAAAAAAGAATAAATCGCGCAATGTGTGATTTCTTTTTCGTTTTCAAGTAAAATTTGAGTTTATCATTTCTCCGATAGAGGTTAGCACTCGTCGTATTTGAAATTCTTGTCTGTATCATAAACGTACGATGGCGCCACGCGAACAACAATCGGAGCCATCGAGTTTTCTGCTTCTAGTGAGTTGTGGAATCGGCCATTGCTCCAATATTTTTCTTGTGATAGAAAATTTTTAATCTCTGATGGAAATAGAAACGTGTATATGAGTATCGAGGTAAGTTGTTCGATTACTTGTTACATTTGTTTTTGTTCTTCGCAATGTATTTTTGTAAAAACAGTAAAGATAACTGGGCATCAACGATCTGCCAAATTTTGTTCCGCCATCTTTGTTACAAATTCGTTTACATTTTGCTGTGTGTATTGTATTTTTTGCAATTATTTCATGCTTCATGTTTTTATATTAAATTCGTCTTGGTTGGTTGATTATATGTGTGACATGATTTGCGACTTTGTAAGTTCGTCTTCGAATTTGTTTTCTGATCTTCAAATTAACTGTGTGAGTTTAACAATTACTGTTATGGCCTTGGTTTTTTCGTCCAAAAAAACGATAGTTATGAAATTAGGCATGTGATGATAATAAAAGATACTCCTCTTGTATTGTAGTTTTCGTCTTCTTTAAATCGGTATTTTAATATTTACTAATGCGGTATTATTTCCTGTTAAATATAAAATTGAAATTTTATTACATAAATACTTTTACATATTTATATATTTACGAAAATTAAAATTATATTTTAAATAAAACAGCATGAGGTTTTTACTGCGTCTTATGAAGAACAAATAAATTTAATGTTATTTACAAAATATGCATATGCATTTAAAAAATGTTAATAAGATTTTTAAATTATTTGTCGTAAGAAATTTTTAGATTGAAGATTTTTAAAAATATTTATATTCGACAAGAAATATTTTTCCGATTTGTATAATAAATAATAATGAATACAAAAATTTTTAAATATATAAATAACAGTCTTGATTATTTTATTTTAATATTAATAGAAATATATATTTGAGTTATTAAATAAACGTTGATTAGATAATTATAATCAAAATTACAATATTAATTCAAATACCGAAAAATTATATATACCGACGGATGAAATTAGAAATTTCTTTATTACCGACTGTTTATCTTTTTTATTTTTGAAGGTAACATTACATAAAGTTCAGTGTATCGTTGTTGAATAATTTATTTATAAACATTCAAACAAATTTTATTGTGGTTATTGTTGTTGAATTATGTAAAAATAAAAAATCATTTTTATATTTCTAATAAACGCCTTTCGTTCAAGATGTAATTTGCATATGTATTTGTGCACGCGAAATTAATTTTCATTATTCTTTACGCGAGAATTGATTAAATAAAGCTTACGTTTTTAGGTCGATACTTATTGTTATATACAGTTTTTGGCTTTTAAATCAAACGTAATCGAATTAATTGAGAAGAT